TTGTTTATGCCTAGGGCAGTGGTGGCGAACCTTGGCACTCCAGCTGTGCCAAAACTACAAATCCCAACATGCATCTGCCTCTGGGAGTTATGTCTGTGGCTGTCAGAGCCATCCAATGCCTCATGGGACTTGTAGTTCCAAAACAGCTGGAGTGCCAAGGTTTGCCACCACTGGCCTAGGGGATCAGAGTAAAGTTATTTTCCTTACCTCATCCCCTCTCCAGGGCCGGATTTCCCGCAAAGCCAACCAAGGCCCGGCCTTGGGGCAGCAGGGAGTAGAGGGGCAGCAGGGGTGTGGAATTCCTATCTCCCGATTCCCAAGACATGCAGTTCTGGGCGCCAGGCGGGTAGTTGTTTTTTACATTTAGCAATGTCGCTGAGATCACTTGTATGCAGCCTGCAGGTCTGCTATTCTCTATGGGGGGGGGGTGTTGGTGGGTAGGTGGGCGCATTGAGGAACCTGGCCTTGGGGCAGTAGAGAGAGTAAATTCGGCCCTGCCCCTCTTACCAGTGGTTGGTGCTTTCCTCTTATCCCCCTCCGCTCTGACTGGTGGAATGTCTCTCGGCGCCCTCATGTCTAATGCAAGTCTATGGGACCTGTATTAGATGTGATGATGTCAGTGGTCCATAGTCCACCAGAGCAAAGGATTGAAGAGACTGCTGGGACCAGTCCAGCAGCCCAGAGGGAGCCAGCAGAAGCTAAGTAAAAGTATTATACACAGGCCCGGATTTCCCTCAAGGCGCAGAGGGCGGCAGCGGTGTCCCTGTGGGGAAGTTGTGGGCGTCGGACGCAGGCGCCCGCAATGAGGAAGCCGATTGTTCGTTTACATGTCATCTCGCCGATGTCGCCGAGATGACATGTAAAAAGTCTGCAGCCGGCCGGTCCGTTCTCCCCTCCCCTCCGCTCCCCCCTGCACTTACCTCTCTCCTCTGGTTCCGTCCTCCGGGCTCCGCCACCGAGTCTCTCCTCATCGCAGGTAGCAGAGCGGCAGGGTGAAAACTAACCCTGCCGCTCCGTGTAGACAGTGAGAGGGGAGAGCTGTGCTCTTCCTCTCTCACCTGTCACAGGAGTTCCAGCACAGTGCTAGAACTCCTGTATTGGAGGTGACAGGGTCAATAAAGAGAACCTGTCACCGCCAATTGCTATCACACAGGGGCTTGTTATCTCCTGTGTGATAGCAATAGTAAGAGCAAAAGTTAGGTGGGGGGAAAAAATCAATTGATTTAAAAAAAAAATTAAATAAATAAAAATGTAAAAAATAATAATATGAAATAATGAAATAAAAAAATAAAAAGGTGGGGGGAAAAAATCAATTGATTTAAAAAAAAATTAAATAAATAAAAATTTAAAAAATAATAATATGAAATAATGAAATAAAAAAATAAAAAGGTGATTAAAAAGTAAAAAATAATAAGAAACAAATTATAAAAAAATAAGAAAATAAACAATAAACAATAATAAGATAAAATAAATTATAAAAAAGTAAATAAGATAAATAAAAAACAAAAAAATGAAATTGATAAAAAAAATAAAATACATAAAAATTAAAAAAATAAGAAGAAATAATTAAATAAAAAAAGTAAAACTGATAAAAAGTAAAAAAAAATTAAACTAACCCTGCCGCCATTCTACATTGATGGGGGGGCGTATTGCGGAACCTGGCCTTGGGGGCGGCAGGGAGAGTAAATCCGGCCCTGATTATACACCAGTTCCCTAGACAAAACGAGCACTTAACCTTTGCAGTATGAGGGTAGCCTAACTACAAGACTAGTTTGTTGGCTTGCCCGGTGATGGCCTTTAGACCCCATTCACACTGAGCGATTTCTATAGCGATTTCAGCTCAAAAATAGCTCAAACATCAGCTCAATGTCGCTTGTCCAATGCATTTCAATGGAGCTGTTCACATCTCACAGCTCAATGTCGCTTGTCCAATGCATTTCAATGGAGCTGTTCACATCTCACAGCTCAATGTCGCCTGTAGCTTGTCGCTTGAACATGACCTATTTTTCAGCAGATTTTGTATGATTTGATCCAATAGACTTCAATGGTGTAGCTCAATGTCGCATGAATTTGAGCGACATTGCGCAACATTGTCGTGCTACGTCGCACTACAGAAGTGTCATTTTGCACAGAAATATAAGCAGGCAGCACCTTGAGAGCCCTCAATCTCATTCTTTGGACACAGCAGCAGAAACTAGAGACACTGGTGCTGTCTACGGACGCGGAGAAGGCGTTCGACAGGGTGTCGTGGGACTTTATGTTTCAGGTCCTCCGCCATATAGGACTGCCAGACCGTATGCTACATTGGATAGGAGCTATATATTCGTGCCCTAGGGCCAGGGTGAGGACGATGGGCTGCCTATCAGACAGCTTCCCAATCACAAATGGGACCCGCCAGGGCTGCCCGCTCTCACCCACGCTCTTTGTATTGACCCTGGAACCGTTTATCAGATTGGTTCAAGCAGATACTTCCATAAACGGCATCAAGATAGGGGAGGTGGAACACAAAACAATGGCATACGCAGACGACTTGCTCTTCTTTCTCTCCAGCCCCCTATCCTCATTGCCGAGCCTAATGTCTCTATTAGATTCATATAGCTCACTATCCAATCTTAAAATAAACTTTGCTAAATCAGAGATCATGCCACTCAACCTACCCCACACTACTACACTCCGCCTCCAAACGTCCTTCCCTTTTGCATGGCGCCCCACCCACCTGCAGTACCTAGGCATCAAACTGACCTCGGACTTGTCCCTCCTCTATGACACGAACTACGCGACCCTACGAGACTCCATCCATAGCGATCTTAAAACCTGGCGAACGCACACCATTTCATGGTTTGGTCGCGCGGCCCTACTGAAGATGAATGTACTCCCCAAACTCTTATACCTCTTTCAGACCATACCCATTAAACTACCGCGCTCCTTCTTTCGACACTTAGACTCAATGTTCTCATCCTTTGTTTGGAACGACAAACGTCCACGCCTGTCTTGGTCCCTACTTAAAACCCCGAAATTGAATGGCGGCCTTGATATCCCTGACATGTATACCTATTACAAAGCGACCCACCTTACCAGAGTGCTGCACTGGCACATACACGCCACTTCCAAGTTATGGGTATCCCTGGAGGAGACAATATCTGGAACACCCCTGTCTTCTCTGATATGGCTCAGGGAAGCACTCTGGCCCCCCATGCTGAGAGATCACCCGTTCATAGGAGCCACGCTCAGCATCTTCTCCGCGACACGACGCCTCAATACTCTTACCTCTCTTCACAGCCCCATGGAACCTCTGACACACAACAGGGACTTTCCTCCGGGTGTCACCAGGGACTTTACGTCCTACTGGGCCCAAGACCCTCCTATCAGAGCGCACCACTTTTTTAAATCCCACACTTTCCTCTCCAAAAGTGAGCTATCAGACCTCACGAGACGCGGCTCGCTCCCCTGGTGGGTATACTTTCAAATACGGCACTTTCTGACATCCACGGAGACCCGTCATTCCCATTCTAGGGCCTTAACCCCATTCGAGAGGACCTGCTCAGGAAACGGCCCAACAAGACACCTGATCTCCTGGCTGTATAGCCAGCTTCGGGTTGGTACCGCTCCCCACTCACTCAAACTACGCACCAAATGGGAACACGCGCTTGACATCACACTGACCGACGAATCGTGGAATCAAATTTGCACAGCGGCACACAAATGCACAATAAACAGACAACTCTACTCTTCGCACAACAAGCTCCCCCTATCCCGACTTTTAGGTGTCATGGACACATTTGCAAATAGGTACGGCACAGGGCGCACGACTCGGCGCCTACGCGGCCTTAAAGTTCACTCAAAGCAATCTCACTCACAGGCGCCTCACCACTGCATCTTCCTTGTTATGTGTGACCCTAGTCATTAAGAAGATCACACCTGCTCGACATTTATAGTCTGTGAACACTTGTATGTGCTGCTCGTTGCCTCTTTCTTCCCCATACTGTTTCTCCCGACCAGAAGGCCGGACAGATGTTTGTTTTGATGTACATCTACATGACTGAAGCCTGACACTGTAACATCGTTTATGCATGTTTCATTTCTGAAAATTCAATAAAAACATTTACAACAAAGAAATATAAGCAGGAAACAAGAAGAGGAATGATGTCACATCATACCGCTTTTGATTGGATGCAGCCCAATGTAGCAGCTACGAAGTCCATGCCAAAAGTAGCGCTGCGTAGCGTGACAATATGTGCACTGTAGCTCAATGTAGCTCAATGTCTCTCAAAGTTGCTCAGCTTAAATCAGCCCTGAAAAAGCGCTTTTTCTGATGTAGCTCAGTGTGAATGGGGTCTTAAAGCTGAATGCAACGTTTGTCTTTTTTTAAAATATAATAATATTAATGTGCAGACAATTGTAATGCATAGAAACCAATCCGATTTCATCAATCCATCTACAGCTCTCAGAACAAGGAAAGATTCATGCCACTTGGTCTGTTTGGGTTCCTGAACGTTGTACATCAGTCTTTGCCTTGTTGAATCATAATTGTTGAAAATGTCTTAATCCCCACAACTAACTAAGCTGAATCTATTTTTAAATTGCCTTTAGCCAGCTCGTCTATCTACTCCTACCGGTACAATTATCTGCTCCTCTGACATGTCAGATTACTGTGTGAAGCATGAGGGACATGACACTGAATGACAGATCCATCAGGGGAGTTGCTGAACCATAGGTATGGCTTACAGGTAAGGCGTGTCTCTCCTTAGATAAGCTAGGTTATACAGCTTTCACTTCCCCTCGGATTCCAGTTTTGCTGCATTTTCACGAAGCACTTTCACGCTGCTTTTCAGGTTAACTGAACAATCTGATGAACATGTAGCTGCAGAGCTCTACCTTTCCATCTGATATCGGAGAAAGATAACCGACTGCCTGACACAACATAGAACAAAAACATTCACAAGTTGATGACCACCAAACAGGTTCATCATCAATCTAACTGTTTGAATAGTCAAGAGGATCTCTGTATCTCAACATGAACAGGTCAAAAACGTTTGGGAAAATCAGGAAAAGGATTGAAGAGGCCAAAAATAGATGGGCCAGATTGGGCAAGGCAGACTATAGCTACAATGAGAGTGCCCGCTTGGCCACGGACTCTCTCCTGGACGGCGGAACGGAATCCTACCAAAAAGTTCTGGCGGAGGAAGGTGAGGTAGACTTTTTCTCAAAGACGGAGGTCCAGTTTATTGTGGACAATGTTAAAGAGCCGTTCTATACCAATGAAAGTTACAACGAGGGTGAAAATGGGTCTGTGCAGAATGGGAACCATGAGCATAAATCGGAAAGCTTCTACCCCATTAATTCTGACGCTAGTGATCCCACAACGCCGCTGCACAATTGGAGTGCAGAGGACAAGCCGTATCTAAAGGACAAGTCCAGCGCCACTGTCTACTTCCAGTCTGACAAGGCCAACATCAGGGAGACCATTCGGAGGAGTATACACCGAACAAGCCAGGTATGACCATATACTTTGTATATAATAATGATAGTTGGAGTGCTGGGTATGTCACAGCCAGTTTGCCTTCTCTGTGGAGCACATACAAGTCCTTTCATGATGACTGGCAGTGTATGCAGGGACTTGTAGTACCCCAACAGCTGGAGAACCCAAAATTATCCTTCATACATGGGGCTATTTTGTCTAAAGCCTATAACCCTATGGCAATACATTTGCATTATTAATAAAAGTACTGGTACATCCTAAATGAAGGGCATCCAATATGCTGAATCGCTGTGTATCATGAACAGTTAAGAAAGTTCACCCTTTGTTGCATCTTAGCACTTCTGATTTCCTGCAACCTCTTTGCAGCCACTACATTGATGGCCGCATATTACTTCTAAGGAGGCGATAACAGTGCACCATGTCTATGTCATATGTGTTTAAACTGCCACTTGTAGTCCCCATCAGAAACCAGTGGGACAGAGTGACAACATAGAAGAAGAATTAGGACAAAGGGACAATTGAGGACAAAGGTGTTGTCACCCTGTAACAAGAAGTACTTGAACAAGGACCTTCATGGCATGATCACTAGGTATTATTTTATTGAAAGCTTCAGATTTAAAAATGTTGAATATAAAGTAAGAAATTATATTGATATGTTAAAGTTTATATGAGATTTTAGTAATTGGATTTACTTTAGCTTAGAGTGCTGTCATATTTCATTTGCTTTTGGTTCCTTTCACACATACGCACATGCAAGTGCCTTATACATGTTTGTGTGCATTTTATATACACGGTTCATTGTTCATTCATTATGTCATATAAGAGTGAAACACCTAATAGGGATTTGCTGTTGGGCAGCCTTTAAAAACACACAATACTGCACGATACATGCGTATTATGTCCCAGGAGCCAGGTCGCCAATGCTCCCTACAGCTGCCGTCTACCTTATGAAGTTTTCTCTAGCTGTCAATGGAGCTGGCCCCTAAAAAAAAAATCCTGCTGGCTTCTGGGTTGGACGGCCTGGCTCCTGAATTCCATGTTAATTTGTCCACCCCCTGTATTAAAATATATTTAAAGCCAAACACTAAAATCTCATAAAAGCTGTAACATGTTAAAACATTTTCAAAAGTTGTAATCTTTCTAAATCTGCAGCACTGGCATAATCCTTATACAGCAATGCAGAATAGCTCCAACTATGTAGGACTACAAGTCCCAGCAATGCATTATGTTTTTAAGTAGGGATACACCAGTCAGTGCCTATACTGGGCATACTCGTGAAAATGCCCCGATATGAAGCGCAGATACCGGTGTTCTGTCGAGAACGACGACGTGGTTGAATTTGCCGACCTCAGCATCTACGCTTGCGCACAGACCAGTATTATTGAGGGAACCGGGATTTATTCACAAAGTATTTTGTTTAAATCGTTAATTGTGACCGTTAATAATATTCCATCCGTCATTTCCTGCCATGGACGGTATATTATTAACGGTCACAATTAACCATTATAAATGAATACTTTGTAAATAAATGCCGGTTTCCTCGTAAATCCCATCTGTACGTAAGTGCAGATACAAGGTCAGCGTTCTTGACAGAACATCGGCACTAATATTTTAAACAAGAGGCTGCCTGAGGTCCCACGCTTGCTGGGGACCTCGGCAGCCTTCCTGTTAACCATGCGGTGCCATGGTGGTTGGGGGGGGCCTTCATGGTTTCTTGCACAGGGGCCCTGAAGGTTCTAGTTACGCCTCTGATCTGCAGCTTTGATGAAATGGATTATTTGTAAATCTGCAATACAGTTCCCTGTTATAGGGTGACAACGGTCTCCAAATATGCTGCAGTGTTGTCACTCATTACACGTACCCCCGGTGGAGAGTGGAAGTGGCTGTGATGACACACGTTGCACAGGTATTGTCCACCGTTGTCACCATCAGGACAAACTAAAGGTCATCCGGTTACAGTTTACATCTGCTTACAAACAAAAAATACAGTACAATAGACACAAAGCACAGAGGGAAAAGGGATATTTTGTTGTGTACATAAAGCATAATGTACAGTAAATATTGCAGATGAACATAGTATTTATTAAATATTTATTATTTGTATTATAATACCGATACTAGTATTGGTATCAGTGCCGATACCAATATTTGGGTGAGTACTCGTATTCGCCCAAATGTTCTGATACTTACCGCTGATACCAGAACTTCCGGGCAGAGCGAGATTTCCTCTGACTGGCAGCGCCGCGAGGGAACATGGAGCCGGTTTCCCGGCCAATCAGGAAGCCGGGTAGTGTGTAAGGACACGCCGCCTGGCTACCTGATTGACTGGGAAGCCGGCTCTATGCTAGCGGAAGTACGGGTATCTGTACTTGGTATCGGCGAGTACCGAAAGATAAATAGCGATACTCGTCCTAGATACCGAAAAACGCAAATTTGTAAGTAAAGTGCAAATTTATATCAGTGCAAATATAAAAAGTTTTTTGTAAAAAAAAAATTAAAAAGTGCACAAAACCGCACACCATCAGTGCAATCATAAAGTGTCAAACAGTCCAACATCCTGCAAAGCCTTTGAATTGAAGAAAAGTGTGCAATCCAAGTCACTTGATTTAAAGTGATCTCCGTACTTCCAGATAGAATTCCACCAACTGCACATGTAATCCCAATTAAAGGTCTATTAGACGTGAAGATGCCGAGGCACTTGCCACTGTCGGGGCGGATGGGGAGAGAGGTCAGAGGTGATTGCTACAGGACTGAGGATCGGGTTTATTTTCACCCCTAGAGGAAAAACGAGCAGTTAACCGCTGCAGTGTGGGGGTAGCCCCAATGGAAGGGTTCATTTTTTTAAAAAATTCTGTCGTTGTTCTTTAACACACGCGAGTATAATTAATCTTATTCCATTTAGTGCAGACTTTTATATATATTATTCCGGTAGTTTCCACTAACAACATGGGAACATCAGCTCCGAGCTGCACATGTATCCTTGGAAAAAGTAGACTTGGTTCCTGGAAACATGTTGGATGAACAGATTAATTAGATGTCTCATCAGGATCCTCCATGGTGAATTATGCATGGCTCAACTCATTCTTCCCTTTTTAAATATCTTGAGAGCTTGATTTTTAAAGACATATTTTCT